TTTTAGTTGAGAATGTTTCAAAGTACTCTTAAAAAATGTAGTTCCATTCCATTTCAAAGAGCTGTTGACGCTCAGCGTAACCTTGTCGCACTGCCACTCCAACATCTAATCACAGTGCTTGATGACTAGTCACAAGGTTTGTAAAGCAAGGTGGATGTTGTAGTCCCAAACGATAGCTGGGGATTCTGGGTAGTGTAGTGTCTTCGGAAACTGTAGCGTCTAAACTCCTAAACAACTATTTGTTTCTCTGAATCGAAGGTTAAAAACACAAAAGCATTGTACACAATTTAAACCAATCAATATTGTGTAATTAACAAGGATAAACTGATGTTCTTTAATGGATGAGTAATGCAGATATCACTGTGTAATCATTTGACAGTGAGGGGAATATATCCGGTTTTATTATGAAAACTTCGAGACCGGAAAAACTGTTTTCACCCACGCTAACTTTACATGGAAGCTGCATACACGTTATCCTGGCGAGACCTCAGATCATCTTCGTAAATATCTATCAAACTATAGATCCTACACATCCACTGGACGTGGATTCTAAAAGTACAATATACACTTCTCGCTAGAAATCGAATCAAAAAGCATTTTAATGGCCAAACTATTCCACAATTTAGGATTTTCCAGAGAGGGTTATTTGTGAATAAACGGGAGCATGTTGTGACTTACACGACCACAAGAGGTGCTACACTTTAAAACGTGGCTATGGGTCGTAATCTAAGCTGCTTAAACAATCGACCTATTTGGTCGTTTTTTGTAGGAGGACAGGCTGCTATATTCCCTGGGAATGTGATGCTCCATTACGCATGGTGAAATGGACATGGGTTATTAATTGAGTAGGTGTGTTTTTGTGCTTCTGGTAACGGACGGACCAGTGGGGCGTGGACTACATCCTGCTTCGCCCTTAACCCAATAGCGACATCCTTAGAGGGCGAAGCCTTATACGATATAGAACTGCGTTACGTACTGTAACCCAGCTTATATGAGTGGCGAAGTCCCTCCCCTTCTGGTGGACCTCCATGGGACCTTATTTCGAAAAAATGATGTATTGAAGTCAATGGAGAGAGAAAGATTATCTTTCGATCCCGTTTGAATTGTGCCAAAAAATTACACATATGATGTTTGTCAATTTAAAAGATAATTTTGCAAGTAAAAAAAAGAAAAATGTGTCGTAAAACTGTGAAGTAACACATTTGTTTGTGTGGAACGCTGAATGAACTACATCTCTGGTCTCGCAGAGCAACACACGTCACCAAGATGGCCGTCTACTGTCTTGTCAACAAAACGATTGACTACCCTCACTATCACCACAATGAAACACGTCCAGAAGAATGTCATGCAAAGCTGTCTGCCTGCCTTCCTTTGATTCTCTCTGAACTGCCTGATCTTTTTAATGTTTAATGTCAACCATTTGTGCAGCATGAAGTAGAAAAGATCGGCGATCGGCAATGCTAGCGTTTGCATTTCTCCCCCGGGCTTAAATTGTGTATTATAGAATGATCACACCGGTGACAGTACTCTTCAAAGGGTTCACGAAATATGACTATTACTCTTACTGTTTAACATTTTTGGGTTACTTGATGTTACTTCATATTAAGGCTAATACAAATGACAAGGCTGTAATGCTAACTAACGTGCTAGCTACTAGCTAGGTAGCTAACTTGATCCAGCCACTCCTGGTCCTTTCATCAGACGGGAAGCGAAAGAACGAGCAAGACCCATTGCTGGTATGATAACAAACTGGTACTAAGCACACAGGCATCTTGTTAGTGTTATCTTATCTTAGCCAGCGCCATATAGATAGATTATATCTATATGGCGCTGATCTTAGCTATCTCTCAGTGGAGGAAAACAATTGTGACATCACTTACTCTGGGATTTGTAGTCTTTCTAGTTGCGTATTTTTCATAGTCTTATATTTCAACAGTTTTACGACAAACTGTGACTTTTTTTACATGGAAATTATTTTTTAACATCATATGTGTAATTCATGACACATTTCAAACGGGATCGAAAGATACGTTTTCTCTCTCAATACATAATTTTTCCGAGATAAGGTCCCATGGACCGGAAGTAGATGGGCGTGACTTCACCACTCTATAGGCTGAGCCCTCTAAGGTTCGGGCCCCACTGGCTCCGCGAATAGCTGAAGAAAAGCTGTTTGTGTGGGAGCAGATTGTAGGGACTACTTTCTATTTATACGGAAGTGAGGCTGTAGGTGGGGCCCACGTCATAGGTGGGCGTGGATTAAATCTGTCAGTGCTGCACACGTGCAGTGGGATTACCCAATAGAGAACCGCAGTGACGCATCCTAAAACCCGGAAGTAAGTTAGCATTTTTACCACTTCCGGTTCTTTCGATAAAAAGCAATGCAATTTCTCCATAGGATTTTGGAAAATAGCTCCAAATAAGGTCTGTGGTTGACACATATTGAAGAGACAGATCACGTTTTGTTCTACGACATTAAATACATCAGCAGTGACCCCGCTGGTGATTTTTGAAGAGTTTACGTGTCTGAAAACGATGGTTGTTACCATGTGGCTGAATAGGACTACAGAAGTTGTCCAGGACGTTTTACGTAAAACACTCCCGCTAAGTTTGTTTGTCCTGTTCTGCTTGAAAGCAAGTTCCAAACTGTTAAAACAAACGCTTCAACTCATACCATTTAGAATCTGTATGTTTGAATATGGATCTTAAGTTGGCGTGACGTTGAAGCAGCAACCCTGCTGTCGTTCCTTTATAGCATAACGTTAGCATTTAGCTTCTGGCGACTAGATTTATGATTTGAAAATTATAAAAGTAGGGTAGACATGTGGAGATTATCTGGCTGAACAAAACGTGATCAGTCTCTTAAATGTGTTTCAACCACAGACCTGATTTCCAGCTATTTTCCTAAATCCTATGGAGAAATTGCGTTGCGTTTTTGAGGAAGGAACCCGGAAGGAGTTTACTTCCGGGTTTTAGGATGCGTCACTGCGGTTCTCTATAGCGATAGCCTTAGAGGGCTGCGCATATACTCATAGAAGCTGGGTTACAGTACGTAACCCCAGTTGCTGGTGTTTGTGAGTTTTTATGATGAGGCAAAGGGGGAGTTTGTTGAAGATGTGTTGGGCCTGACGAACCTCAGTGGACCCACAAGGGGGCAAGATATTTATAAAGCACTAATGTGAATGCTGAATGAAAGAGGGTGCAGCTGCCTTTATTCATAACTGTGCAGCTCTTACACTGCGACTCTGAGGGGTCAAGCACAGACACAATAACAATGAAAACTGCTGCATACAGATTATTTTGTATTTGCAACCTCGTGTTAAGAATCTTGTTGCAATTGTTTAAAAGTTTGAATGACCGTAATAAACGGACCTTTGTCTTATTGAAATTTTTCTTTGGACCTTTAAGATTTGTATTTGAGTACCCCTGATTTAGAGCATCAATAAAAGCCATCCGCCTATTTTCTTGTGAATATAACATTGAATGAACATTAATTTTTGTCACAAGTTGCCAGGTTTGAAGTCCTCTAAAGAGACTGAAATGTGCTCAATTACTCAATATGACAACTGGAAATGCTGGTGAGTAGTAGGAGGATAAACTGTTTGTTCGGAGGTTGTCTCTCTGCGTAATTCCCCCGTAGAAAAGCTCTTTCTGAGGGATAAATAAACAAGTGTGCTTCAGGCCTTCATCAGAAGCTAATCTTCTCCTGAAAGGTCCCCCCCCCTGCTGCTTCTCCTGCTTTCAGACGCTACGAGCTGCATCTGCATCACAACACACACAGATTAGGATAATAGTATTAGTGGATCATTATTATTGCTGTCATTATCATCACTGCTATTATTATTATCATTATATTGAACTCACAGAGCTGCAGCAGAAGCATGGAGGCATGTTTTAGGGAAACTGATTTTCTACTTTGGTAATTCAGAAGAAAAGGGAGGAATTATGCTTTGTGTTTTTTATGAAAGGCTCCTCATCCTAATCAGACTGGGAAAACTCAGATTTAAATAAACACACATGCTGTAAACACAATGTTGTTGTTGTCTCCTGTGAAGTTTGCAAAGACTTCCTTTTTGTAGAGTTGCGAATTTTAGAATCAGATTTGTTTTTTGTATCCCGGAGGAAAATTGGGTTTTGTGACCATTTAATTTAAATAAATGCACTTTCACTTGCCCTGCATGAGTTATCTTAGTGTCAAATCAAACATTTTTGACTGTAGAAAACCAAATTCAGACCTCAGGAAATACTCAGAAGCTTTATTTCACCGTTTCTAAACCAAGCTATCAAACTAATCAAAGCAAGTAGCTTTTGTCAAGAGCAAAAGCTACTGGGGATCCTAATAAACAAACAAACACATGGAAACCTGTGAAGCCTAACATGCATGGTATTGGAGGTATCTATTGTAGATACCTCACTATGTAACACTCCTGTCCTGATTATGTACCATAAATAGCTGTGCAATTTATTCTACCAGCTTTAATACTTTTACCTGGATGCCAAACTGTTATTGGTATTGGATGTGTGTTTTGTAAATTGTGTAATTGTTTTATTTTTTATATTTTGATGCTTCTCGAGAGATATTAAGCTATCTTTGGATCTTTATTTGCGGTTACAATTGTACATTTCCCCCTGTGGGACGAATAAAGGTATTCTGATTCAGTTACTTTAACTTTGAAAGGATTAAAATAAAAGATAAATAAAAAAATGAGCTAAAATATATATCTTAAGTGAAGAAGTTAAAGGTAGAATGTATTTGAACATTAGAAGTAAAGTAAAAAGTGCTTCTACAATACATACCACTTATACAACACAATGCATACAGTGGTGTATTATTTAAAGATTTGAAGAGCGCACACTCACACACAGATTAGTGGTTGTAAGGAACCATAGGGAATCTCATTCACATGGAAAGCCTGTAATTAATTATAATTAATGGCCGGTGTAAATCCTCCACTGTCATTTAAAGCAGCAGTTTGTGTTCCTGCTGCTTCAGAAGCATTCAGACTGCAGACCCTCACTCTCAGCTGCTTTCAGACCTCAGACCTTATCCTCCCTGGTGAAGGAGAGTCGGTTTATGGAACTACTTTTCTGTGTTTGGCTGCAGGAGTTTTGGTAGATTAATAACTATGGCATCTTGTGTGAAAACTGAAAGGCCGGCGTTCTTTATCAAGAAGATTCTGGAGCTGGAAACACCTGAAAAGTTCTGGAAACTTCACCGACCCTGGGCAGGTGAGGGGGAAAGGTTTTATTTTAAACCATTGCTTGCAAGTTTTATTTTAAACCATTGCTTGGAAGTTTTATTTCCAGCCATCAGTCTGATATGCATTGTGAGCCTCTTGCTGTAGTGTTTAACATTTGTTATAGAATGTACCCTTAATTCCCTTTGCTTGGATAAGTAATTTACAATATTAAGGTGCAATTAAGCTGATTTGTTCCTTGTCAAATGGGCAGAGGTGTTAAGTAACTAAGTAGATTTACTAAAGTACGGTACTTTAGTAATATTTGGAAGTAAAGTAACATTTCCAATTAAAGCTTAAAAAAAGAAGTTATAATATGTTTTTAATATAATTTAAGAAGTTAAAGAAATAAAAAGATCAAATAAAATCACACATCTTCAATATTTACCATTAATACTGACCTGTAAAATATGATCTATTCATTAATAAACTGATTTTTAACTAAGTATTAACACATGTGAAAAAGGATGGCAGGAAAGTCTCATTTGAAAGCACTGGTGCCTCCATTCACTTTGTTGTTGTGAGAATGTATTGATTGTTTGTCAAAGGTTTTTAATGTGTAATTTCCCATTTTTTATTTCCCCAGAGATTGGAGCAGAGAAGGAGAACGTAGGACACACAATTCCCTCTAAACAAATATATCCTCCTCATCCTCATCATCCTCAGCAGATGAGGCCGACGTGCAGCTGGTACATCGGACGCAGACCGCGCACCGCCTTCACCAACTGCCAGGTAACACTATAGGTTTTAGTGCATTTAGGTCTGCTAGGCTAGAATCCCTGAAATCCTGTTTTATCTAAATTGTCTTTTAAGTACGTCATAAAGTTAAGGATGTGTGTGTGTGTGTGTGTGTGTGTGTGTGTGTGTGTGTGTGTGTGTGTGTGTGTGTGTGTGTGTGTGTGTGTGTGATGTGTGTGTGTGTGTGTGTGTGTGTGTGTGTGTGTGTGTGTGTGTGTGTGTGTGTGTGTGTGTGGTGTGTGTGTGTGTGGTGTGTGTGTGTGTGTGTGTGGTGATGTGTGTGTGTGTGTGTGTGTGGTGTGTGTGTGTGTGTGTGGTGTGTGTGTGTGGTGTGTGTGTGTGTGTGTGTGTGTGTGTGTGTGTGTGTGTGTGTGTGTGTACGTGTACGTACAGGTGAATGTGCTGGAGACAGTGTTTCAGGTGAACTGCTATCCAGGTATCCAGCTGAGGGAGCAGCTGGCTGTCAGACTGGAGCTGGAAGAAGACAGAATACAGGTAACACATTTTATTTATTTATATAAAGTATAAATCTAAACACACACTGTGCAAAGTCAGTTAATACAGTTTCCCAATGTTATTTATGATGAGAAAGCAAAGTAAAAATACACGATTTTCCACCTTAACACAGTTTAGAAATAGTGGTTTTCCACCATAGGCCCCACGGTGGAAGTGGGCCCCAGCATGGAGCTCCGCAGTGGGACACTAGTTGTCCTCCTGCCGCAGCATCAGGACAAAAACCACCAGACTCAGAGACAGCTTCATCCCACAGGCCATAAGACTATCATGCATAACATTCATCTGTTTGCAATTTACAAATTATTTATCTAATCCATCATATTCCATTTACTTGTATAAAGACTCTTCTTGCACTATTTGTATTTTCTCTTGCACTATTTGATCAGTTGTATCTGTTCTATCTCCCGTATATATTCATGTTGCTGTTGGAGGAGCCTGTGACTTAAGATGTTGTGCTAATGACAGTAAAGCCTTGAACCTTGAATCCTGCACCTCGTTAACTTTCCTTTTGTCTCAGATCTGGTTCCAGAACCGGAGGGCCAAACTGAGGCGGGCCCTGAGAGAGAGCCAGCTGCAGCTGGTTCAGACGGCCGTGGGTGACCTTGGGGTCAGACGGGAGGTCAAAGGTCACCTGGATCTCGCTCAGAGGCTCGAGAAGGAAGAAGAGAAGGGAGGATGACGTCTGGATTCACTTTTATTCATCAGTTTGTGTCTCACTGTCATGAAAAACTCTTGTTGACACATTTAAAATCTCCGTTAACTTACATATCCTTCAAAGGATTTTAGTGTTTACACCCTGCTCTTGATGAGTTAGTAATGTCTCAATATGTGAATATATTTCTGTTAATAATAATAAATTAAAGTATTTAGATTGTGTGATCTGTTTCGAAGCTTTTAAACTCATTAATGACAAAATATAATAATAATCCAACAGTATAATATAAATTCACTCTGAAATCTGCCATTCGACATGAGTTATTATGTTTTATACATTAATTACATTTTAATGCTAATAATTTTGTTATTTTACTAAAGTACACATTTCGAGAGCAGTACTTTTACTTTGAAGTGCTTTTTGTTTAAGTACCGGGTGACACCGGAGGGTGATCATTATGGTGTATTTGGAAAGCAAACAGTGCCACAATAGTCCATTATTTCAACGCTTTCTTAAAGGTCACCTATCATGCTATTTTTAGGCAATAGCATAGGTCTCAGATATATAAAAAAATATATAAAACATGTCTATGAAGTCACTTCCTGTTTCAAAAGTGCTGATTTTGGGTATAAAGCTTTAAAAAATAAAATAATTGATAATAAAAAAGGAGGGGTCTGAGCTCATGCGGGACCCGGCAGCTACTGTCTAAACTAAAGGCTGCCGTGATGAAACGCCATATCATGGATTATCAAGGATTCTCTCTGAAACAGTCTGGAGCTCAAAGGCTTTCTCTCTTGCCGGTTATACCACGGTTAGTGCTAGATCGTATACCTGCTGGGTTTTATGCGGCGGAAGTGACGTAATAGTGGTCGTGGATGAGACGGCAACTTTTGTTGCGCTCGCGCTCCAACAGACAGACACGTCTGTCAAGGATGCCAAAGCGCAACAAACAGGATGCTTTCACATAAAATATTACAAACACTGAAGGATTTCGAGGAAGCGTTAGCAGACGTGGAAGAAACAACGATCACAAAGTATATTGTGTACAAAAAGGAAGAGGTTTTCGGGGAAAATAGTAAGTTTGTAAGGTTAGATCTGAAATTTAAGAAACAACGATGACCAAGTAGCCTACATTGTGTCAGTAATCAAATAAGTATATAAGTATAAGTATAATAATGTATAAGTATATAAGTATAAGTATGTATGTATATAAGTAGCTAAGTAGTATAAGGGGCTCACAGAACGGCCGGTCGTCAGCGGGCCGGTACCGGCCGGCTCGGTTCGAGCCGTTCATTTATTCATCTTTTAAACGGCTGACAGAGGTCCACAGTTTCCCCGCAGCGAGGCTCCCCCGCCCTCCTGTTGACAGTTCACGAGCGTTCACACCACTAAAATGTTTATTTTGGTGTTCTGTGTTTTAATGCCTACAACAACTGAATTATAGGTTGGTAGTTTCAGCTTTCTACATAACCCATAGATTGATAAAAGCGAAAAATACGTGAAACTTTACTGTACATTCAGCAACAGGTTGAATTATCAGGCGTAAAGTTACTTAAGACATTTCAAATTCCGAGTTTCTTTCCAAATCTAAACTGACCAGTGTTAATGTATATTTTATGGATAAAATATGTATTTTTGTCACAAATGTTTCAATACAGACGTGCAACCTTCACCAGAGAAAAATATATACTGGCAGTTGAAATGTGTACCATATGATGGGGTGCCATTCCAACTCGTGGAAACCAAGATATATGGATGCCACGGGGAAAGGACAGGTGTACTCGGCAAAAGGAGAAGTACCATGCACAAAAAGATAAACAAGCGGTATATTTATGAATTGACATGCATTAACAACTTTAAATAATTGGTAAAGGAAAATTAAACAACTATTCGTAATATGACATGCATTATGGCATTCTATGACACATAACACTGTGACACATAACAACATAGGAATCAGCATTATGTAAATACGTAAGTCGTTTAAACTTTAGAGGAATAGGAAACAAAATTCAATGGCCTCTTCTGAGACAAAATAAAGGGGGATATCCTTCCTTTGTTCACCTACAGAACCCAACCAGCCCACGGTCATGACCTGGCACCAAATTCTTCCTGTTTACTTATTTTAACAGGGGATGGTATATCTGCAAAAATAAATAGACACAAACAGTACAGATGCAGGGGTAATGACATAATGTCCCACTAAACTACAGTTATATGAGCAGGACCTACACATATTTTAAAGAAGACAAAAGAAAGAACCATAGAAAAAATGATGTTCTCCATGTTATGGAGAGGAGACCATGAAAATGTCTACATAAATTAATATTGTATTTCTATACACCTTTTTTCTCTTAGCTTGAAGACCATGTCTTCAATGCAAGACGCCATCTTGTACAAAATACGAAGAAGATGGATTGCCCTGCCCAGATAACTGTCAGTCAGGTCATGAAATGTCCTGGTTTCAAGGTACAGCACAAGCACAGCACAAGTGCGTTCAATGCTATAATTGCTCTCGTGTCATGATCCCAATTGCCATGTCACTTTTATGTTCCCCAGATTGCAGAGAACAGTAAAGCAAAGAGGAGGGAGCTCTCCGCAGCACTAAAGGCCTTAGTTGCAGCTGATCCTTCAACAGTGATCCAGAAAGTGACCATCAAAACCATCCAACTGTTGGAGAGGTAACCATGCAACATCTATTCCTTTAGCTGCTATAAGAAACAAGATGCGAGGTACAATTTGTGCTGTACAAAGAGGACTTTTTTTTAGACAGCTTTAAACATCTATAATTACCCTGTTCAACGTCTTGTACAGGTAGCTGAACTGCGTGAACCGATGGATTCCAGAGTTGAACAATAGTGAAGCTCACCTTGGCTGGTGCCAGAAAGCTCAGTGAGATTAGACGTCACCTGTTCAATTTTGTAAATGACGAGCTGTTCCGGGGGGAGCAGCCACCTCCACGAACACGTCGAAGGTTTTACCCCACAGACAAGGACATCAGGAATATCTTATCAAGAACGAAGGAGGGAATACGTGAATCCAAAAATGACCAGGTCAATCTGCAGGTAATACACTGAGAGTAGAATAGTATTAATATTATTCTAGCCATGCACATTTTTGTGGGTGGTTAATGCACAACTTACAGAGTTTGTGACTTCACCAAGCATGGTCAGTTTTTTACATGATACATTGTCCTCTGAATGCAGGTGCAAGTAAGCAAAGCAAAGTAGCAGTATTTGGTTCAGGGTATGACCATTTTTCAAAATGCAACTAAAACTTCAAAACTGTTTTTGCCCTGATATGACAACACATGTTCCTAATGTTTGGGTCATGAGGCTACATGATGATAATGTCCAGTTACACTTTCATTCACAGCTTCTGACCCCCAGATGGTTAGTTGATGACTGCAAAATCAAGTACAGGCCAAGCCAGCTACAGGAGGACGGAACTGTCACAAAGCTGCTGTTTTGTTACCAGACAGCGAAGGCTTCTCCACCTGTATGGACAACAGATGTGCCTGCTTGATGCTACTTACCGGACGTGTCGTTACTCTGTTCCCCTCTTCTTCCTATGTGTACGTACAAATGTGTGCTATGCAGTGGTTGGCCTCTTTGTGACCCAGAGTGAGACAACAGCAGATGTCAAAGAAGCCCTCCAGGTGTTTAAGGAGTGGAACCCTGACTGGAGCCCTAGCCACTTCATGGTTGATTTCTCAGAGGTAGAGATCGGTGCCCTGGAGGAAGAGTTTTAAGGTGAAATTGCAGTAACTGTAGAAATCTGTTAATTCACAGAATATGAAACGTTAATTAAAAAAAGGATACATTTTACATAGTATTCCACCAACTTCAAAAATATAATCATTTACATGCAAATGTATGCAACAATCTACTTCAAAATATAATGAAGTCATCACCTCCACTGACAGAGATGTATATTTTGTCGCGTATACTATGTAATAGCAACGCGACAAAATAAAATGACAACATGGTGCAGGTAATATATCTCTTATATTTTATCCAGGTTCGAAGGTGCTTCTCTGCGACTTCCATAGCGAGAAAGCTTGGGTTGAATGGTGCAGGAAGAAAGACCATGGAGTGAGCAACGCACAAGACAGTCTCCTACCGCTTCTGAGAAGCATTGCAGCTGCTTCAACTCCAGAGGAGTTCAGCTCACGCCTTTGCAACCTGCAGGAGGCCAAAGTCTGGAAAGACAATGACAAAGTGAGGGCGTGGTTTTCAAATAAGTGGCTCCCAGAGGCTAAGGTGTGCATCAAGTTGAAATATTATATTTACTTTTATATTATATAATGTGTTGAATTTGAAGAGTCTTCCTTTTAATTTGTTTTGTCTTTTTTTGTGTTGTGTAGAGATGGGTGCACGTGTTTCGGGATGAAGATCTCAAGGTGGCCATCTACACCAACAATGGGGTGGAAAGACAAAATGAAACCCTAAAGTATTCTCATCCTGAAGGTTGTAAGAACTGCAGCCTCAGTGAAATGCTCACTGTGTTGGTAACTGACTTCCTACCAAGGACATATCGGAAGTGAGCTAAAAAATTATTACTATGATTATACGTATATATATATTTAAATATACATACATACACACACACTTGTATATATATATATATAAATGTAATGTTCGATAGCTTTGTTTCCAACATATTTGTTTGATGTTGTTCATTGTTGCATATGTTTCTGAGACAATTGTATTATCAAATACCATATCTATATGTCAGAGAAAGCAAACTGTCACAGAGAGACTTCTAAGATATTGTTCTCTTCTCTTATTGAAGGTACATTGAACTGAACGTCAAGTACTCCTCAGTCTACAGAAGGTACAATGAGAACATGCCAAAGTTCTTAAAAGACAGACCAAGAAGTGGAGCAGACCATGTGATGTCAAGGCTTACAGAAGCCCAGTTTTATGAGGCGAATGACGTTGTTGCAAAGGGCAATGGCATGTTCCATGTCAAAAGCCAAAGTCATCCTTGCACAACATCAACATCAACTTTGGTGAAAGTATCATCATGCCATCGTCGTGCACCTGCAAAGACTGGGCAAAGCACAAGTTGCCCTGCAAGCACTTCTGTGCTGTTTTTAATCATGTGCATGAATGGGGTTGGGAGAAACTGGCATCTAATTACAGATAACCCCCTCTTCTCCCTGGATAATGCATGTCTGGGACAGACTTCCTGTGAGAGGGATGGCAGCGGCAGATCAGACATCACAGATCATACATATACACCGGTATCAGTGGAAATGCAGTCACCATGTCACGCTTTGCCCGAAAGGAAAAGACCAAGAAAAGTTAAACAAAGAAGGGAATGTGCCAGTCTCTTGCGTGAGATTACTGACTTAACATACCATCTGCAAGATGAAGATTACCTTAAAACGTTAACTGACCAACTGACCGAGATCTTGGAAGATGTGAAGCTACACACTCCACATGATCAGAGCCTTCCTCTGACGTTCACACCTAAGAAAAGGAAGAAGGAGATGGCCAACCTACCTGTGAAAACCGTGCCACAAAAGCACCCATTCACAAACAGGCTGCTTTGCAGAAGCTATGAGGTTGAACTTCCGGGTCAGCATGAATTTGAAATGAACTTTGTAAAATATTTAACTGTACAGTTCGGCATTCATATCTTTATTATTATTAAATCACATATTGTTTTTATATATTGTACAATGTGCAATTTGACTTTGTATGTAAATATTGTTATTTTATAGCACATTTTAACTTTAACTTCTTATTTATCCATACATATGTGTATTCTATTTAATTGCAACTTGTATTGCAACATTTTTACTTTAACTCTGTAAGGTTACATTATCCTTTTAGTTTTTTTATTTATCTTGTATTGCACATTGTTATTCTTACTTCCTATGTTAATGTTCATCTTTTAATTGTATTTTATTATATCTTTGTTGTATTGCCCTCTTTTACTTTCACTTCTTATTTCAACATAAATATTGTTATTTAAAATCATATTGAACATTTCTGCTTTCATTTCTTGTTTGTTTTATATGTTTATATTAGGGCTGTCAGTCGATTAAAATAGTTAATCGCGATTAATCGCAAATTAATCTCACATTTTTGATCTGTTCTAAATGTTCCTTAGAGGAATATGTTTCAAGTTTTTAATACTCTTATCAACATATGAGTGGACACATATGCTTTATGCTAATGTTTATTATCATTTGAACAATGACAAATATTCTCATGAATATTAAACACAACAACCTGGAACCTCTCTCATACAATAATACAATACAAATGGTGTGTGTGTGTGTGTGTGTGTGTGTGTGTGTGTGTGTGTGTGTGTGTGTGTGTGTGTGTGTGTGTGTGTGTGTGTGTGTGTGTGTGTGTGTGTGTGTGTGTGTGTGTGTGTGTGTGTGTGTGTGTGTGTGTGTGTGTGTGTGTGTGTGTGTGTGTGTGTGTGTGTCAGGGGCAGATCTAGACAAATATTCATGGGGTGGCAAGAGGGTGGCAGGAGATTTTGAGGGGTGGCATCCCCTGACAGAAGTATATGCTGATTGAAATCGCAATCATATCAATCAATTAGGGGTGTAACGGTACACGTACCCGTACTGAAATTATTCGGTACGGGCCCTTCGGTTCGGTACACGTGTGTACCGAACGAATATAGCGTTAAACGTAAAAAATTGAGAACAACTTTCTGGAAGTAATCTCAGGTATATATCATAGAGCGACCAAGTCATTTCATTGGACGAGAGGCATACTATGAGAGCTGGTCAGAGGGATGCGTTCAAATGTAGTCAGTAATTTGAGGAACTGTCAAAATGGCGAACACAGATAAAGTTGAGCTTGAAAATCCTCCAGCATCATTGAAGTCTCCGGTTTGGGAACATTTTGGTTTCGCAGTTACGTACAAGGATGACGGACAAAGACAGGTGGACCGAACCAAAGCTGTTTGTCGGCATTGTTCAACTAACATTGGTTACGCGGCTGGCAATACATCAAACTCATTTGAAAAGGCATCACCCGAATGTGAATATCACCGGTACCAAAAGACTGAAGTGCAAACCCAACTCCCACTAGCATGTAAGCCTCCACCACTCGCAGAGAGTTCAGACCGAGCCAAAGCTATTGCAAACACCAAATATCCTTATGTTGCCATGTTAGCAAAGCGCTACCTGGCTGTATCTGCTACCTCTGTCCCTAGAGAGGGTGTTCTCCACAGCAGGAGACATTGTTAGTGCCAGCAGATCTGCCCTTTCAGCAGCAATGTGGACAAGTTCATCTTTCTTTAAACAACATGAAAATACAATGACAAGCAAGTCCTAATGTCAAGCTGGCTGCTTAGGAACTAGTACAGTTCAAATACAGATTATTTCAGCTCATCGAAATGCTGCACCTTAATGTTTATTTTACTATATTTTGTATTTATTTGAATACATTAGTCACAGTTTAATAATAATTAAAAAAATGTTTTTAATGTTTTGTGATAATTTGTTCTACTGTACCGAAAACGTACCGAACCGAACCGTGACCTAAAAACCGAGGTACGTACCGAACCGAAATGTTTGTGAACCGTTACACCCCTACAATCAATGTTAACTTGGAAAGCCACAATATTAATATTTTAACTCAATCACATAGGTGATATTATTGTGGCACATCAGTAAAGCCTTACAAGGTGGCAGACGTAATTTAATGAATTTTAACTGAACAATAACTGAATGAGTTTGTCTCACTCTTAGACCAGCAGGGGTACCAAATATATGCAGACTGCTGCAATAAGTACATTAATTAACTGTCTCATCGATGTTTGTCTGAATGAATATGATAATATTAACAATCATATTATTCCTATCAGCTGTCAATCACTGTTAATAAATAATAATAATAGATTTAATTTGTTAGTGTTTTTACAGGTGCTCAAAGACGCTTTACAGATATAGTGAAGAACTGTTATGATTCACATATTCATTTATTATTGAATAAACTATATTTTTTGGAGGAGTTAATGATGAATGTTCATCAAGATGCTTGCTCGCCCTCCTTCAAATTTGAAAAACAAGTAATTATATCATTATTGATATACAGTTACAACCTTGACTTTACATCAGAAAGAACACACATTAAAGAAAACGTGTATTCAGCTAAAACATCGCTGCAGTTATTATCCAGTGGAAGGTCCTTACCTACTGGCCTAGTTATATCAAAGTGGTTACTTTCTGTTGGCTGGGCAGTGTAGTTTTACACACCGTCTTATTTTACTTTCTCAGGACTTAAAACTGTTTTTTGGGGGCAGACCCCCACAAAGAAAACAATATATACACGCATACAAGGCCATCATCTTAACAGTTTGTTATTCTCATCGACTCATCCGTGAGCAGAGCATCAAGTTGGCATGTCTATTACAGCTGAATGCGGAGATTACTATTTTGTTCAGCAAAACGCCTCACAAACTTATTAAGATCAACAGCTGTAGTGCGTTTTGATTCAATGCTGAGTACAGCCAAACTGACAGTCTCTTCTCTCATTGTAGACCGCAACTACCTCATTGCTTCAGTGCTTGGGTCCGAAAGGCTTCTCGTTTTGCGCCGTCCCCACGTTCAAGTTAATTCGCCACCAATCATATTTCCACTCTCGCGCCAGGACCGGGGGAGGGGTTACATGACGTGCATCTTGTGCTGCATTCACTTGCACTCGGACATTAGAGACTTTCTCTCATAAATGTCCGATGAGCCACAACTTTTCTTTCAAAACAAAGATGCCAACTGGGGTGGCAGCTGGGGTGGCAAGGCTATTGTTTAGGGTGGCAGTTGCCACCCCGGTAGATCCACCCCTGTGGTGTGTGTGTGTGTGTGTGTGTGTGTGTGTGTGTGTGTGTGTGTGTGTGTGTGTGTGTGTGTGTGTGTGTGTGTGTGTGTGTGTGTGTGTGTGTGTGTGTGTGTGTGTGTGTGTGTGTGTGTGTGTGTGTGTGTGTGTGTGTGTGTGTGTGTGTGTGTGTGTGTGTGTGTGTGTGTGTGTGTGTGTGATGGATCGTTGGAGCTATGTGCAACTCAAGGCATATGCTCGAACGGGAGCTGCAATCATGTTGCGCACTATCCGTGCTGAGTGTGCTGACTTTTCGTACAATGTCCCACTGTCTGGCTTCCTGCATAAAGTCAAGTGCTCGGCGCAGTTGTGGCGAAATGTCGCTCCTCTGTTTTCATTTAAACAGCTCCATATCCGTTAGCGCAGCTAGCTAGCACCAGATGCTAACAACAACAATGCACGTAAGGTCTCTCTCTCGCTCGCTCGGGCCACACATATACACACCCTTCCGGTCCTCCAGATGGCCAGTCGGTGCCTGCCGGTGAGCGTGGAAGTGTGGTCTGCCACAAGCGGGCGGCAGGATTGGGGCTGTCAGCATCAGCTTGTAGATGGTATTTTAAACTCGATGCGCTCTGAAACTACGGGGCGGCCGAGGAAAAAAAATACACATGCGTTAATCGCGTTAAAATAATTAGTGGCGTTAATTTTTATTTGCGTTAACGCGTTATTAACGAGCTAACTTGACAGCCCTAGTTTATATACATAGGCTATAGTTATTTTATTTTGCATTGCCAATTTTGATTTGACTTCCTATAGTTAGGTTACATTCATCTTTTTATTATCTTGAAATTCACACTTTTACTTCTTGTGTATACAGTATATACATTTAGCTATGTATTAAGTATGTTATTTTGTTTGTTCTAAAATTGAGCAACTGTCACAAAACAACATTTCCTCCACAGGATAATGAAATGATTCTGATTTAACTTCCATGATGAAATACTGGTCAGATATCCACCAGATCTTTTAGTGATGTTTGTCTCTTAGAGAAATTAAATCGCAACATCCAATAGAAAAGTTCAAAACACAAATACACAACCGAAAATAATACATGTAATACTATAATATAAAGAGATGGACGAATTCATTTCAATAAACATGTGAAAACTAAATCAAACAGGTTTTAAGGGGTTTATTTGTGTGAAGACGGCAGCAGCCAGTAAAGTAAAGGGCGTCGTCTCTTGTCCTCGGTGGCAGATTACGTCACTTCCGCCTAAAACCCAGGAGGTATACGATCTAGCACTAACCGTTATACCACAAGGTGAGTTCCTTTTTACTTCCTGCTTCTTCACACACATGCTCTCCAGTACAGGTTAGCTCTGAGTGTTAGCGATGCTAATGTAAACACCGACCAGATTACGTCCAAAACAGTCGGGCATTGTTTCTGATAGCAACACTCTGATTGGGCCGTGGGTCCACATTTCAGATATTACGTCATATCGGACGCAAATCTGGATCAGCTCCGTTGTTCCCCGTTTTTAGAGATTTGGGTACGGAGGAAAAGAGAGAGGGGTTTATTTTCTGACACTGCGTGAGTTCCCTGACACACATGTTGATGTAGAAAAGACATCAAAAAGTGCATTTTGCATGCTAGGTCCCCTTTAAGTCAAAGGTTATGTTTAATATTTTTAAACAACGCTTTTTACTGCGTATTTTATTGTTAAAAATTGCCCATTTTTTTACACGGTCAAAACTCCTGACGATAAAGCAAACAGTGGCATAATCCATTATTTCCACGCTTTCTTAAGTCAATAGAGTGGCACAGTGACGCATCCTAAAACCCGGAAGTAAACTCCTACTTTGATCATTTTCGAATCATAAATCTATCAATTAGATTTTTTAATTAGAAAATTAGAAAAGTAGGGTAGACATGTGGAGATTATCCGACTGAACAAAAGGTGATCAGTCTCTTCAGTGTGTGTCAACCACAGACC